GGAACTATTGTGCTTAGAGCCTCAAACCCAGGAGGAACCATGGATGGCTCTACAACTGGGATGACAATGCTCACATGAGGCAAGGGATCATTAACGGGCTGCGCATTGAAAGTCTGGATCTGGACTGTTTGTACCCCCGAAATGGTGAGGGCGATGGTGAGCAGGTCGACCGTCACTGAGGGGATCTCTGGATTAAATTCAGTTTGTTCCTGCCCCCAGTAACAGTTGCATTGACGGTCTTTATGGTATTGCTTGAGGATGCCATTGATAAAATGTTGTAGAGAAAGTAAACAAAGTAAGGACTTAGCTTTTCATAACGCTTTCCACAGACGACACCAATTGATGGTGTGCGATTTGGTTGCTCCTAGTTGGATGGCAGCTCGGGCATCGGTTGCTTAGTCGGCTGGTCGAATTACAAGACAGGAAAGCTCAGAGAACCCAAGGTGGCTCACCCAGTGTAGTTGCTCCGATGCTTAAGTTAGTATCTAGTTGTGCGAGCTAGTAATCTCAAGTGCAAGAGTGCTAGTAAGTAGTAAATCGCGCGTACCTTGTACCACTGGGGTAGGTGCCCTTATATAGGTGAGCTGCTGTGGGTCTCACAAAACACCTCCGAGATCCTCGGCCTACGCTGTTAGGAGGTGGATATCGTGCTAGCCGATAAGGCTTATCGTGTCTATCCAATCCGAGCGGGATAAGGATAGGACCCGTCATGCAGCATGACCCCAAAAAGTTCAAAGATAGCTGGCATGCTTCTAGAAGTCCGCTATGTATCACCTTGGTCGGTTTGGCTATCCCGGGCTACTCAGACCTTGGTCCTGGCCGAGGTGATCGAGACACTCGAGGTGGCCTGACCTTTTGAGGTGGCAGGAAATACTGAATCGATGTCCAATCATTAGGTTGCATCCACACTGTTTACTAGGTCAGGCCAAATCATCCCTCATCAGAAACCATAAACCAAAATTTTGAAGTTTTTTCATACTAAAAAAACTTTTTTTAAGACCCAGATCAAGCCAAACCACTAATTTTCAATTTGATTCTGGTTTGGACCATATAATGAACACCCCTACGTGGGACTGGAGGAAATAGATGAGTGAGATATCATTAGAAAAATCTCAACGACCAGAAGAAAATAGAAAGGATAAGATGGCTTTCCTTTCTCTTTTCAAACTTTCTAAACCCTGTTTTTTTTATAAATAGGGCCCAAGTGAAATGAGACCAAAGATAGTCTGGTTAATAATGCTAAAAAATTATTAAATGGCATTATGGCAAAACTTTGTCTTTTTATAAATTATTTATAGGGACTCATGGGATGCATTATAATACTAGCTTTTGTTTGTGGATTGGCATAATAATATCCACATCTGTCCATTTGTATGGATTTATTTTTTAAAAAAAAATAAAACAATTAACACATCACTTTTATTTTAGTTTTTTTTTTTAAACCCGAAGGCAAATTTTACATTATCCAAAAACAAACATTACAACTCAGCCAGCACCATAACCCTTAAGAAATCTGGGACAAGAGACCAAGTCATGGATCAGTTATGTCTAATAGTGACGTGTCATTTTTTTTTTTTTGTTTTATACATATATACTGATAGATCACAAACGCCCCATTAATGTTTGTTGTTGCCAAGACGTGAAGAAATACTCTTACTTTGTGGCCAAAGCAAGCTGGGGTATATTCTTTATTAAAATATATTAATTCTTTTAACAATTCATAGGGCTGACGTGGAATCAGATCGGCCGAACATGATGATTCTGTAGCGTGTTGTGTAACCAATAATAATGCCCCACCCCAGCCCTACTAGAGGAAGAAGAAGAAAGGTCTCATAAACTACAAGATGATTTGAACTTAGAAAAAATAAAAGATAAAAAAGCCGGACAGCAGGTTAGGCATGTGTTTAATAAGTTGAAAATAATAATATTGGATAAGACACTAATAGCTAATTATTAATGAGTCATTTACTAGAACACTCACTATAATTTCACAGATTATTTAAATCTATTTTATAGTTTGCAACTATTTGTTTTGTCATCTGAAAATGGTAATATGATCATTTAAACTAAGAGAAAAAGGTTCAAGGTAAGGGGCTCATAGTTGTTTGTTTCAAAGGTATTGATCCATGGTTGTTTATTTCAAAAGTACTCCTAACATTTTTTTGATCAAATAGAGAAAAATAGTGGTTGCCTAAGGTGAAAAATCGCATTTTTGTTTTTAGTTTCTTTTGATTAAATTTATTTGAATAGATGTTAGTGTTAAAATTGCCATTTCATCTAATGGGAGGTTGATTGTAAACTATGCGGGATGCATTAATCAAGGTTCAAAGTATCGATACGTATTAGTCCGTATCGGCTGATACGTTTCATGTTGGTGGCTTACCGATACGCCCCTCTAGGGGTTGTATCGGGTCAGACACTAGTTCAGAGGGTGATCGGGCCTTAAACCGACTCCTCTGAACCATTTTTGAAAAAGATAAATAAAATTTAAAAAAAAAGTACCGATATAGGCCAATACGCCCTACTAACGTACCGACTTGTATCGATACTTTGAACTTTGGTTTTAATGAAACAAGGATAGGTTTTGGTAAATTTATAAAATTATAGAGATGTTTTAATAAATGATCCATTATTAATTATCCCTTTCATAAGGTTGCTATTTATTGGAAAACCGGGGGGAGTGGTCAAAACTTACACAAGATTTGAACATCACCTTTGACCTAAAATCGTATGCTATTACTTTTTAGGTCCGGTATCCCTTGGTGGAAAGCAAGGGAAATAGATGGAATTTCTTGTCAATAATTATAAACCGAGTATTTTTTACCCGATCCAAGGATCAATATTGAGAATTCGGATCAGTTTAATACCATGGGTGTGAATTAGGCTGTGTAACCAATGAAAATACCTCATGCTAGCCATAAATGCCGAGAGATTGTGTGGTATATACGTTTTAGCCATTATCCTATCTCCAATACAAAGGTTCTAAATATAAATACCCATATGTAGAATGGGGCATATCGGTATCTCATATTTGTTGTTGGATTTGCTATTTTTTTATGGGAAAATTCTATTTTAGTACCTTGAATTTTGGGAGTAGTGTGAATTTAGTATTCAAACTTTTAAACGTGTTATTGTAGTACCTAAACTTTTAAAAAGTGTCAAGTTGGTTGCTGCCGTTAATCGAACGTTAATTATTTATTGAAAATGTCAAAACTACCTTTCAAAAGAATATACTGTTCATTGTCTTCTACCTTTAGATTGAACCAGTTATCTTCGAAGAAGACAATGATTTCATTAGTTTAGAATCTCAAACACCTAAACCAGTTTAGTCTCAAGGTCATGGTCTCACTTGATCATTGAATTTCATTAGTTTAGAATCTTAAACACCTAAACCGGTTTAGTCTCAAGGTCATGGTCTCACTTGATCATTGAATTACTTAAGTGATTTGATTGTTTATTTTCATTTTAATATTTAATTATGTATACTAAATAATATAAAAGGTTGACGATGCACGATCTAGAAGCTCCTAGCTGAAGGGATTGCCTGGACGTACTTGCGTGGTGGGTTGGATCAAACTGCAAAACTAGGATCAAAGGGACTGAAGTGGATGACCCGGGAAGGTTGCTCTGATGCTTAAGTCAGTATTCTTGTAGTGGTTGCGAGCTAAAGTTTGGGTGCTAAAGAGCTTGAATGTAAGTAATTGCGCGTACCTAGACCCTAGAGGGGTTGATGCCCTTATATAGGTAAGCTATCATGGGTCTTGTGAAACAATTCCGAGATTTGTGGCCTAAGTGGATGAGATCCGTTTCCATTTTAGTTGGGGAGTAACGTATTAGTCAATGAAGTTTATTATTGTCGCCCGATTTGGGAGGGGAGAAGACAAGGCCTGCCGTTACGCGGCGTGATCCCGTGATATTCGGAGTCTGTCAAGAAGCTTCTAGAGTCAATTACGTGTCACTTCGGTTCCTGAGCCCCGAACTGGCTTAACCGTCAAGGTGCCTTTATGCCAAGGTGACTCTATGTCGAGGTGATTCTATGCCAAGGTGGCTGAACATCTGAACTCTGAAAGCTGCTGATTAGGCTCCCCTTGCTGAGTTGTCATTTTATGGGTAGATCACGTTCACGTGACTTTTATTTACTAGGTCGTGCCAAATTACCCTTCATCAAAGATAATGTTTACAAAATTTAAATTACAATGACAAATTTTAAACCATATTAATATATTATGATAATGTACATATTAAATTATTCAATTTAATCAATAAAGATAATATATATTTTAAATATATATTATATTTATAAAAAATCAAGTTTTTAAAGGGGAGAGTAAATAAAGAATAGGTTTCACGAATAGAACTTAAAACCATTAAGGTTAGAACCAACCCTAAAACCAATATTTATGGAATAAATTTCAGATTCTACCACGAAACCAAACTGAACCGACCCATACTCACCATAAAGAGTAAGCAAAACCATGTTACTGCATCTAATCTTTGTTTAACTAATTAATAACAAATATAATATTATTTTATGCAAGTAGAACTTTACAAAGAAGTAGGTGGGCGACAAGCCTGGTCCCACATTGGGATAAAACCAAGATATCCACGTCCGCATACAGCCTCACGTGGCCTCCTCGTCAGATTCTCCAGTTGGCATCTCATCATTTGACTTCCAGCCTGCGGGGTCCCTACACGCTCCCAACATGAGGATAAGTCCCAATGCTTTTGGGATCTTATAGACTTATTGTACACTTTATTTAACCCAAAAGAAATTAGAAAAATAATGGAAAAGCAAAAAGAAATTATATAAAAATCGGATATTCGAGTCAATTAGATCCGGATAAAATTTGGAACTCTAATTATTGGACTAGACTGACGTGGATCCTCGCTGTTTCATCCATCACCCACCCAAACTACTTCTTCGTCAAAATGCGCCATAACCAATGGGGATTTGCCACCTGGACTATAGTCCTCACCCACATATTAAGCGGCGGCTCGTTCGTCCACGTTGGCAGCTGAGTCCCGCCCTACTACCCTACTACTACCACAAATCGGAGATCTCGCTAATACAAAACTGGTTCATTCAGAATTTTGATAGTAGTAGACACTAGAGAGGCCATGGCCGGACCGACGGCGAGAATACCGGGGAACTGCCGGAACATTAATTCTGGTGATCGTGAGGTTGAATGGTTCGGGGGAAGGCCCAGCTTCCCCGTTCCCGATGTGTTTTTTGGCTTCCTCGAGGAAGGAGATGGGTCGCCGGAAATCTGTTCCGATAAGGGCGATGGCTATAACCAAGACGGAGCTGGTTTCCTCGTCGACGAGGACGAGGAGGAAGAAAGTTCTAGCAACGCTGAGGAGAGCAAGGCGTTTTGGGAGAAGCAGCACCAGCTTCTGCAAGTAAGTTACACAATCATCCTTCCTAACACTTCTCATGGAATTAATCCCGTCTTCTGAGAGGATTCAGTGATGTCTGTGTCTCTGATACATATCCTCTCTGTTATTTCTTCCTTTTTTTTACCTTTGTCGGTATTATTGTCATAAAGATATCATATTTCATCACGCGGCGACGGGAATGCTAACCGGAAAACTTCACCAAATTGCAGGCGACCTTGTGCAGGACCAGCTCTCTGGAATCCAAAATCAGACAAGCCACCAAAGAGGCCATAACGGAATGCCAGTTGGCAGGAAACATTTGCATTTGCCGGAAACCCGTAGCCGGAGGTTGCCGGAGATGCTTGCAGCGGGAAGTTTCTGACCATCTTCTCAAGGCTGGTTACAACAGTGCCATATGTAAATCCAAGTGGAGAAGCTCCCTAGACATCCCATCAGGTATATAAGATTTTCACAAAACCGTAGAACTTGGTTTTAAGCTTTTCGACCAAATCAAATAATTTTACCTGAATCTCTTGATTCCATTTGGAACTTATACCATCTTAACAAAAACAAAGACCCTACTTTCAGAAGCTCAGATTTCTCATTATCATACAAGTATCAACTGCTCTGTATCCAATGTGGCTCACCCTTTTGAACTTCTTACAGGAGAACACACCTATCTCGATGTGGTGGAAAACAATCCCAAGAAAGGGGATGTGAGAGTAGTGATCGAGTTGAATTTCCGGGGTGAATTCGAGGTGGCGAGAGCAAGTGAAGAATACAACCGGTTAATCAAACGGCTTCCTGAAGTTTTCGTCGGAAAGGCCGAAAGGCTACGTACTCTGATCAAGATATTGTGTTCAGCCGCTAAGAAATGCATGAAAGAAAACAAGATGCACATGGCTCCATGGAGGAAACACAAATATATGCAGGCCAAGTGGTTCGGAACCTGCGAAAGAACGACGCATGCCCCACTATTTCCGGTGGGATATTCTGACCGGCCGACAAGGCCAAAAGCTTCTATGCTAACATTCGATTTGTTGGAGAAGTTGCCCAGCTTGCATTGTACAGCGGTTGAAGTTGTGTGATTCCAAAGTCCAAACATAGTTTTGTCCACGGTCTTTGCCTGTTTCCCTTGGAAATATACAATTTTAACGACCCTCTGTAAATTTCAGAGAGAATAAATATACATACTTGAAATTGAATGAACGGGGTCGGTTCTCCTATAATTGTCGATAATTGTCTTTCATTCGATGTCTGTTGGGTCTGATCCATTGGATAGTAGTTTTGAGTTTTTTTTTTTTTTTTTTCTTAAGATGATTAATTGCAGAGGCTACAAGTTCTTCTCCCAATTGAAGACGGAGAAGAATCAAGCAAGGAACAGAGGAAGAGGATATTTTTGTTTTGTAGTTGATATAAGTAATGGCGTGATTTGAATGTATAATTGGGTTTTAGCAATTCAGGGAAACTAGAAAGGGTAATCCAGTTGTGTAATTACTAATTACTTGTTAGGGAGTATTGAAGCAGAGTCAATTTCTTTCTTTGTTTGATACTGCTGTTCTTTTCCCAGTATCCAATCATCAATCCTAAACTTTCGGAAAAAAAAAAGTATTCCACCGGACTAGGGTTAAGAGTCACGGAAACAAGAAACGTGTTTTGTTTGCTAGAGTCGAAATTACCTACAGCTTGTCACTTCCTACTTTTCCTTGACAAATGTCCCATCTTTGCAGGACACTCGTAAGAAAAAGTTAAGCTATATTTGTTTGCAACTCAAATCTGAACCGGATACAAATACCAGGTGGTTCAGTTTTGCATCCTTCATTTGTTTGTAACCATGACTTTCACTCTCATCAGATGCAAAATGTGTTTTGCAATCTCTGACTCTTGAGGATAAGCAGATATGGTACAATGTTACCATTGGTGAAATGAGAAGAATCAAAGTAGAAGCAGAGCATATTCCTATCATGCAAAAACTGTCTAATTCTTCTATAAATTCTTCATTTAGCATTTTCTCCCAATCTCCAAGTGCGCATCTTTCTTCAAATTTAAATCAAGAAATTCAACATTCAGCCTGTAGTGATAATTCAAGTATTTTGTGCTTCCCCCATAGAGTTGGAACTAGAAAGTGTTTCCATGAACTCTTGAGCTGTATATAACAGACTTCATCTTGATTCAGCACTGGTACAACTGCCTTCCCAAAAATCCTTCTAGATACCTTTTGATGATGATATCTTAAGTTCGTAACTTGATTTTGTGCTGAACTGTGATTGTGCAAGAAGGTTATAAAAATGTCTCTTGATTCTTATCCTTCAACTAACAGAGCTTAAAAGGTTCTTGGGTTAGGATTCCACACATTAACAGATCCATTGCAATCTCCAAAACAATGAATAAACATTTGAAACAGAAAATGTTCTACATTAGATCCTCTGGCATTGCGAGAAGTGCATCTGGGAACACTCTCGCTGCTTCATTCTGTCAAAAATGCCTAAATTTTGATGATATGACCATGGAAAATATAGAAATGAACATTAAAGTGTTGACTGAATCATTTCTTAATCGAGAGAGTGAATACCTGCATTTCGGGATCCATCTCCCTTTATAAATATCACTGTTCACCAGGCCTCAAATTGTGGAAGGATTCAATCTACTCACAGACTTTCTTACCACATGATAGATAAGGGTGCTTGTCTATTTTTGGTAGCTCTTCAACCGACTACAGTTTTCAATTTGTGGCTGGTGAATCAGGGCAGCCGCAACTAAAATTGCTTCTGTTTACTCTATTTACACTGGTTATGAGAAAATTTAGATGAAAAAACTAGCCTAGTTATGAGCATTGCAAGCCTGCGTGCTCCTCGCCCTGGTTTAACATTGGTTGGGTTGCCCACCTCAGAACAAGGGGGGTTTCCAGAGCACCAACCACCAGGTGTGAAGCCACCATTCTTCCGGCCAAGAAGTTCGTTATCAATCTTATCCAAGATAGGGTCATTTCGTTTAAACTTTCTGGCAAAGGGAGCATTGCTGTTAATCATCATCATTGTGTCATTAACGCTGAGGGTGTGAGGATGCTGTTTCGGGGGAATGTCCCATGATATGTAATGCATATCATGGTTGACAGTGGTCTTTGCGAACTCTGGCGCATTGCAAATGACTGTTTGGAAGTATCCTTCAGGAGAAGAGATGAAGTTGGTGTAGTACATGAGAAGGATTCTTGGCAAGTTGTCCCAGCCCCATATGCAGTATTCCACAAATGAGCGTGATAGAACCATCCATGCTGATCCTGTACCAACAATATATGTCAATTATGACTTATAAGGAGAGAACATTTCAAATTGTCAACACCTTCGGAAACTTTTTGATCCTTTATTGCCGAAAACAAAAATCTTTGATCTCTTAATCAGCAGGTCATACTGTGGTGGTTTCTAAGCAGACAGCAGATCAGAAAATTTTCATTCAGTTCCCATTTTTTTTCTATCAGTTTAGAAACCACAGAGATTTCCTAATTAGAACATGCTGCAAAGGAGAGATCAACCCTCTTACATATGTCCCGCAGACAGTCAGCTATAGAAAATACTTGGTTTACACATGCATACTTCCATCTTTTGGTTATAAAAGAATCTGCAGAAGTGGGGTTATTGGGTCAAGAGTAGAGCCTTCATGTTTGAATGATGCAATTACAACCAAGAAAAGCAAAAGAGCATGTTGTGTAAAATCTTGTAGATGGTGATCAAAGTAAATCCTCCATACTGAAGAAGCATTTACAGCCAAATAACAGACAACATGTATATTATTTTTTATTCCTATTCCTCCAAGGAGTATGGTTGCATCTTTTAGCAATAAAATAAACAACCCTGATAGCTGATCTAATAAAGTTATCGAGCTCAGCTTAGCTTATTAAAAGGGTACTATCCCAGGCTTAGATATATTTATAAATGAGAAACAGTTTTGGATAAAGTACAGGTAAGCGTCTCGACCTTATAATTAACTTATAAAAGCAAAGGTAGCAATTTTTGACATGGTCAATGATATATTTAGAGTTTTCTAGCATCCTACTTAGGTCAAATTTCAGTGTGCAACCATCAACAAAATTTGCGGTTTATGGTTTACTTTTCACTACCCCAAGGTGTCAAGGAAAGGGAGGAGAAAGAAAACTAACCAGTGAATAACTTGAATGCTGTTGGCACTTGTCTTCGTTGAGTAACCCAGAAAATGTCTGATTTTGTTGACAAGTAAAGCCCAGGATCAACAATCAAGGGTTTTGCCCTTTGTCCCCTGTGTATCACAACCACATAATATAAGGTTGATGACTCTTCACATTCCCAATTCATTAAGAAAGAAAGTGAACAAGAAGAAATTGAACTTACTCCTTCCACCCCAATCGACTTGTGTGTTCTATGAAATTCAGATTTCTGTCCACAGTGGAAAATGCGTGAAGAATATCTGCACCCCAACAATTCTGATCAATCACAAGAACACCAAAATATGCTCGGAGTACAAGAAATTATCAACTCACACTAAACAGAATGAATTTCCATGACCAAAACGACCCACCAAGGAAGGAAGGAAATAAAAAGAAGGATCAGAACCAACCATCCTGTGTCACAAGTGGATAATCCGAAGCACTGAGGTTTATGAACCAATCCCACTCCTTGCTTTCCCTGAGAAGGATGGCACAGGCATGGAGAGTATTAGCAACCATTGTCGGTCCTCTGTAAGTAACCATATTCGCTTTGGTAATCATGCGCACATTCCCAACTTTTCTGAAGATTGTATTGTTTTTTACGCGATAAGCAAGCTCCAATCTTTCTGCAGCTGGTGCTTCCAAGTCCAAATGGACGATGTAATGGTTCCATGGGTGATACAGTGCGTGGAGGGTCCTCCAGAGCTTCTCCAGATCACCTCTTGATCCAGAGACAAGGTAAGCCAGACGAGGGATAGGGGGGCGAGACGGTGGGGGTGGCTTATGATGAACCTTTGATTCAATGAAAACTGGGTCCGTCTGGTTTCCAGAGACGCGGATTGGAAGGATTGAGAAAATTGAATTGATTGTGTGTACTGAAGACATAAGACCCATGTTGAAGCAGGTGGCGACGAGGAAAATGAAGATTAGAGAGCTTACAACAAGCGGGAACACCCATTTCTTCTCCACGTTTAGGGCTCCCATTAGAAAATCTTTTCATGTGCTCTCTTCAAATTCAATCAAATTCTAGTATTTTTATCTCCTGATTGATCCAGCTTTTTCCGACCTAAGAAGCGGATTCAAGGGGCAAAATTAATCCCCCGGGCTTTATAGTTGCATTGATCGTTCACGTAAGACGAATTCACTTTACCTGTTGGAACGGAACAACGCCAAAACAGAAAACAATTAAGACCCTGTTCTTCCAGGAAAGATGAAACTTTATTACGCTATGCCAAATTCGAATTAATCGCAAACAACAAGCTTAGGTGATGGAACGGAGGAAACCGAAGGATAAAGAGAAACACCAACGCAGGATTAAAGTAACTATGAAATGAAAAAAGAAAAAAACGAAACATACGATTCATTGAAGACATAATTAAGATTCAGAAAACTTGTATCGGAAACATTGGAAGCTCCGAAAGAGAAGGAAGAAAACAAACACATGAAGATAGATTAATGCTTTCCGTAAATGGCTGAACTTTTTTTTCCCTTTTTTTGGGTATAAAAAAAGAATAACTAAAACAATTCCAAAACTCCAGATACCTGACGAAGTATAACTTTTGGGAAGAACCAGAGCGGCAGAGCTCGACGCTTGTAAATCGAAACGAAACTCGAAGATAACGAAGAAACCCATGAATTAAATCACAAGAAAGCACCGAGTAATTCAATAAACGCATATCCATTTTCAGCACAGGATAAAATACAAGGAATTCAACAACAACACCGGAAGTCCGGACCATAAAATGAATCAAACATAAAACAACAACATTCGTAAAGGAAAAAAAGGAAAAAAAAAAAAATCTGTGGCAAGAGAACCTGAAGGTGATGCAAGAGAAGGAGGAGAGCAAGTTTGTTGTTTGTAGCACCTTCCCGAAGAGAGCAAAAAGAAGAAAGGAGAAAGAGAAATTGGACGGACATGAACGGATGGATGTGCTCCGACCCGTGTCTCTGGTAGTTGATTCCCCGCTTCTTCTTACAGAAAAAGAAACAATATAATATCGCAAGAAATAAATTAAATAATGGCGGAGCAACGAAACCCCCCAGGAGTTCAGACGTGGGTTGTGGGTTTCACTATCGTTTGGGCGTTTCTGCCTTTCTGGCTTGGTTTTCCACTTCTCCTCCTCCCTCCACTTTTCTGTAATTCTGTTGTTTTCTGCATTTATCGATATCGCCGGTTTCGGAACTCGGTTGACCCAGGGCAATATCCATCTACGTATCGACTACCTCTAGCTTTGTAACGTAGTACTGGGGTTATATTATCCACACGATCTGTTGAACAATTAGTGTTTGACATTTTGATGACCAATCCAAGGGCTTTAGATTCGTCGGTATTTCGGTATCACGAGTTTGTGTACGTGCATATGGCATCGTTGCTTTTTCTCGAACTCCGTATTTTGTGAGTGAAAGCTCCCAACGACCTGGATCATCTACCGACCATCCTCGTTCTTTAAGTCGTTATTCAGTAGTCAGTCATTAGTGTGTAGACCAGGTTTGCCGTTTGCGCATGCACACACGTGACACAACACACCGATGTAAAAGGTGCAGGACTCCACTATGGTGGGACCCATTTAAAGACGGGATAATCTTGGCCGTCAAAAGTTGATTTTGCCACAGAACCTGTAGGTTTGAGACCGAATCAGCCCTTAACTAGACTGCCCCACAGTACATTTCCGCCGTATATTCGGAACATCTATCGATGTTGGCATCATCATTCTAATATCATCGGAAGATATTCTCAATACACGGCTGGTATGTCCGTTGTGGGACTGATTTTAACTCTCCAAGCTCACAGTGAATATGTAACTTTCAATAGAGAGCGTGCACGTCACCAATTCGAATGAGGCTACTCCGTTATTTCATTATCGTTATCTTCCCGTTAAGCAGGTGATACGGCTCACCCTGTCAGAAAAAGACAAAAAATAAATAAATAATTCAGAATTCTCGTTTTGAATCATAGGAACACTCTCCTTCACCTTTTTTTCAACCGAACCCTATAACAGAGACCATGGCAATTTCTGAGCACAACCGAACTCTGACGGTAGCAATCTATTTGAATCTTCAAATTGCAAAGGTTCTGCTTTCTATGCGTGGAGAAGTAACAAACTGATAATCCATTCTTTTAATAAATAAATGATCTATCTGATTTTACTAAAAAGAAATAAGGCTCGGTAAGTTATTTATCCGGGTGCATTTATCTGGGTAAGTTTTTCTTGGAAAACATTTATTCAGGTAAGTGTATTTATTTATGTTCTTTTATTTCTTAAATAAATAAGGCAATAACCATTTTAACCATAAAAATCCATTATTAAAAGGGAGATTTTTGTCCTATTTTGAGAGGGGGTGAAATTATTTACCCATCTAAGAGATGGGGGTAAGTGATACCTAGGAAAACAAACTTTCCCTGATCCCCACATAATTTTGAAAAAGGAACATGGGATTCTTGGTCAATGGGAATCAAAATACCATTGACCAACTTCCCCCCTCTCAAAATCCGAAAAAAGAACATGCCCTAAATGTTTTTTCTTCATCAACTTCTTGAAAGTTGTGCACAGAGAGACTGCTGAAAGTTGAATTTACATCATCAAATTAACGGTGATTCCATCATACACAAATTGATACATAGAACATCGGTGGTTTCAATTAATTAATTTCTTAATTCAAAGCACTGTGGAATCAAAATAATAAGAAAACCAATACATTGGGCATAGATGGTCAATCCATTCTTGTTGCATTCTTGGCAACAGTTTGTCCATCTATCATCAATCCCTTCATCATGACTGACTTTGCAATTGCCATTGCAGTTGAAGCACAATACGAAGTGTATCCTGTGCAGCCGTCACATGGGCCATTGGAGTGATTGACTGGGACTCCTTGCAAGAGTGGTCGGAGCTTCCCTTGCTCGTGCAAGCTCACCACCTCATCAGCTCCTCTGATGTATCTCCCCCTTGCAAGAGCAGGAAGCAACAAACAGATACTTATCACCAGGTATTTCTTACCACCATCGGAGTTCAATTCTGCTTAGAAATCACCAATGGTCTCTTACTCCAGGGCAATAGCTCAGTTGAAAAAATGGGAGGAAGGAGAGTTCAAATGATTCAGAATGAGAGCTTTGGATTATTTGTCTTTTTTTTTATCAATGATCGGATGAATCTTATACACCCACTTAACAAAAAGACAATGTTAATGGAAATGTCTTGATTTGAATAGGTGACATGCACGCCTCCTATTGGAGGATACACACTCGCTGTGAACCTACGGGTTCATTGGATTTATTCTCGCATTTGAGAATGTAATTTTTTCGTTTTTTGCATAAAAGGGCTTTTGAAAAAGTTATTTTGAAATGGGCTTCTTGGAAAAAAAACACTTAGTGTTTGTTTGACACTCTGGTCTTTTTTTTTTCCTTTTTATTTCTTTTTTGATAAAAGGCCTTTTTTTTGTTCAAAATAGTGTATTGTGATTTATAAACATGAAACTGCTTTTTATCTAAATGGACTTTTTTTTTTGTATTTTGATACAAAATGCCCCTTCTGATTTTTTTTCACTAAAAATGATTTTTTGACGGGATTTTGTATTCGCAACAATGTTTTAAAAACAGACCTAGTACCGAAACTACTTTGGCCATGGGTTTCTGGGTCAATGGTTTGATTGTCTGGTTTGAATGAATAGTCTATAGAATTTTTAAAAAGAAAAAAAAAATAATTAAAACAAAAATGGCAAAAATTGTTATTTGAGTTGAATGGATCATTGGTTTGACCACCCAGGTTAGCAGGTCATTGACCAAGAGGGTGTTTGGAACCGTGGGCAGTTTTATTCAATAAAACTGCCACATAGGCACCACTTCGGTTTTTGTGCACGCCTATTGTCTAGGGAAGTTATTTTTTAAAGCTTCATCAAACGGTACGTTTTTTCACTGTTATGCTAATGTGGTGCCTAGTGACACCTAGTTGTCATAAACTGTTGTAATTTTTGTCTTTTTTGATTTTGCAAACAAACAAAGTACAAATGTTGAATGAAAAAACGTAAATAGAACCAAACACATACTAAGTGTATGATTTTTGAAAAATGAGCAATTTTAGGATAAAATGGAATTAGCTGTTTGAACAGTTTTTGGGCCGAACGGTCCAACCATCCGACTCAATTTCTAAAACCGAGACCGAGAGCGCTTCTGCATTAAAAGTCATTTGCAGAAAATTTTGAACCATATGATCTATTTGACTCCGAGGTGTGGTGTTAATCAATTGACACGTGTTCCATCAATGGAGTTGACAGGCCCACATTGGAAATTTGGCACGCACCCCACCATCACCACCCCCCAAGTATCTTTCCCGGGGCACGGTTTTTCTACCGCGTGGACGGATAGAAATACCAAACTCAAAGGGTTCATGTGATCAGTCCATGTCCATACTTATCTCATCAACTCACTTGTCAATATCATTCTCATATGAGTCATATACTCATATCTCATCAACAGATCAACGCAGAACGCACCCTCGTCTGTTCCAATCTCCCAAGCAATTAATGGTCGTTATTTCTTCCATCAGAATGATTTGCCAGGTGTAACATGGGAAAATGTAGCAATGAGGAAATGTGTGGGCCCAAATGAATCCCTCTCCAAGTCTCCATGATTTCATGTCTCTCACTCACATTTATAACATGAATGACAAACTGTGTGATTGAATGTTGGTTATATTGGTTACGATATTTAATAGAACTATACTTATCCGGTGGTTCTTTATAATTGTTGTTTGGTGGTCGGCTTAATTAGATGACGCGGTATGGCGCCATTTAATCAAGTTGGAATAGCCGAATAGGAAGTTGGAGCTGTTGCATAAAATGATAAAATATTAAATGGACCATGAGAAATTAGGTCATTCCATTTAATTTCTGGCAATTCTTTTCCTCTTACAGGTGTTAAATGGACCAAAGATTAACGGTTTGAATTGGACCTAGCTCATATGAAATGGGGGATTTTATGAGAAGTTTAGGTATAAACGAAGATAAGATATGTAATTAATTGAACCCAAGACCTAGAATTTGTCCCAACTATGTTAGTGACCCACTGCTTGGTGGAGTTGACAGATGGCAAGCATGAAAATGTTTATGCATTGGAGAACGACGACTTGGAAGATAAAGCCCAAGGTGATGACCCCTTATATGCTTAGGTTTTGGTTGAGTTTGCTTTGAAGAAACTATTAGACAAGGCTGCAACAGTGAACTATACAAGGGGATTCGTATTGGCTTTGGCTGTGTAGATGGCCGTGGAATCAATGGTAATGCCTAGGGGTGAGTATTATTCAGTTTTAACTGAATAATCGAACTGAAAATTTCGATTTCAGTTTTTTTAGTTTGGCTTTTCCAGTTTTTGGTTAAATTGGTTTGGTTTTTTCGGTTTGTGGCTATTTTGGTTTTTGAAATTAGAATTTTGGTTAACTGAATTAATCAAACTTTTTATTATTATATGTAATATAATATATAATATGTAACATATAATATGCAATATATAATATACTAAAATTTGGTTTCATAATATATATATATATATATATATATATATATATATATATATTATAATATATAATATATGTGGAATCAATGATAATGCCTAAGGGTGAGCATTATTCGGTTAAAAGCGAATTATCGAACTGAAAATTTTGATTTCAATTTTTTCGGTTTGGCTTTTTCAGTTTTTGGTTAAATCGGTTCGATTTTTCGACTTTTGAAATTAGAATTTCGATTAACCAAATTAACCAAACTTTTTATTATTATATGTAATATATAATATATAATATGTAACATATAATATATAATATATTATATATTTATATATTAATATATAATATACTGAAATTTGATTTCATAATATATATTTTATAATATATAATATATATTATATTATTAAAATTCGGTTTTAACTGAAAACCAAACCGAAAATTTTGATTTCAGTTTCGATTTTCATTTTTTTAATTCGGTTTTAAAATTTCGATTTATTCAATTCAGTTTTTAACTGAATAAACCGAATGTTCACCCTAATAATGCCCTACTTAAGTGATAAAATATATAAGGCCTATAGTGAGAGATTAAATAGTTGTGGGCCCATATATTTTATCACTGATGTAGAGAGTTATTGGTTTTTCACCTTCTGGATAGCTATTGGGTTTAG